TCTGATAAGAAATATAAGGGACTGCAGAAGCAGCCCCCAGCATTTAGTGTTCAGGATTCAGCATTTCAGCATTTTTTGATCTTCAGCAATTTCCATGTTTGGCTATTGGTTGGGTGATTCTGCCACTGCAGCTGCTGTTCTGAGTGTCACTTGTCTGGTGCTGTGCTGGGTATCTCGTTGAGACAGGGCAAGCTAGGGTTATTAGGCAGTTTTAGGGACAGTGCAAGAGGGGACCTCTGAAGAATTTAGGGAGGCTTCAGAAATAAGGACAACCAAGGAAATGTAACCAATTCCACTGGGAAAAACAAACATCCTAGCACCAGAGATAATCTTGTTAAGGATGGTCCTGGTTTTCTTCAGATGATAAGATAAAGTGTAAAGATGCTCACCTGGGAGGGCTAGACCATAAAGGTAAAGCGATAAGCATAACAAATGGGGAAAGAAAATACTGTTAGATAAGGAATGTGAAATTTCTTGCTTAGTATCCCCTGGGAGCTAGCCAATCAGGAAGAGAGACTGAAATTTTAGCATAATGAGAGAGAGAAAGTATATATTCCTAAAGTAATATCCCATACTGGCTCATCTCGGCCCCTCCCAGGTTCCTTATACCTGGGAGTCTTTCTTCTTTGTCTCTTTTCTTCCTAAATAAAACTCTTCTTTCAAAGACAAGATTTGTCTCTCTCTGCTTACTTACTCCAAAAAGTCTGTGAATACCTTTCTACGGTTTCGCGAGACAGGAACTCGTGGTAAAGCGGCAGCAGTTGTTACACACGCTGGCATCAGGAGTATTAATAAGTCCCTTTTAAGCGCACGGGTGAGGACCCACAGCCAGGCAACCTGTTCAATATTGGGGCTGTCCTATAACACTCACTGTGTGGAAGTGAGTCCCAGGAGAATCAGGGAGACTCTCACGAGGGTCCTCACACTCCTCATCCCAAGACCCCTCCGCTACAACCCCCCTCTCTTGGCTCAAGGTCTGTGTCCAGGACCATAAAGAAAGCCCTGAGCAGGGAAAGGGCGTGTGACTCAGCCTCAAGAGGCTCAGATCTCCCTTCACCAGCATCTCTGACCTTCCATGCAGGACCCGGTGCAGACCCTACCCTGGGATTACTGGGGAGCCCATGTGAGAGGCAACACAATTAGAATGGTCGCCTCAATAATGGTTTTTAAAGTGTAAGATTATGTGAAGTACTTCAAAGGGCCCACTGTGTTTCATTCCCAAGCCTTGCACAGTGTCTGCACAGCACAGATTCAAACTGGTGACTGTGCCCAAAACCTCTAGAAGGCTCTTCTCCCACACACCCCTCTCCTTCCTTCCCCTCTCTATCTCCATCCAGACTTTTCTTTCAAATTTCTCCCCTATCTTTGGAAATTGATTATAACCATTTTAGGTTAATGCTGGGAGCCATGCTACTCATGTCCTCTGACACAAGTCTGGGCTTGGGGCAGATTCCTGAAAAGTCAGGAATCTCATTAGCTGACTCCTGCAAGATTCTCCTCATTTGTTTATGGCTAGTTTCTACCATTGTTAAAATATGCATTTAAAAGTAAAACTGCAAATGCTGTTTGATCAATTACTGAATAACCAATTTGATGGCAAATAGCTCTGGGTGATACAAATATTACATTTTTTTATAAAATTAGTAGTTCTCTGCCAAAAGGCAGTAATTCAACATTGGCCTTACATTAACAAATGAAAAAACTGCTGGGAACAAAGGCTATAAACATCCATTGGCCAAGTCTTTAATATGGAGATGTGGGCTTTTGAGGCAAAGGATAATTGGAGAAGGAAATTCTATTCAAAGTTAAAAAGAGCAGTTGGGTGGCAGAAGCAAGCCACACTTCAAGAGTAAGAAAATTTCTAATCAGACAGGCGGCTCCATAGCTGGCTTCTGCTAAATTCTTCCTGTTTGTTTAGGGCTGACTCCCCTGGATGTGACAATGGTATGGTAGCTGTTAGAGTATGCATTCAAGAATAAGTCAACAACAATTTTATGACTGGTTGAGCTAATAACCATGCAGCACAAATCATTCTCTTGCAAATAGTCAATGCTATAACTACTGTTATGTCAGGTATTAACCATTTTAAGAACCAAAAGCTATAACCATCTCGGGGCCCTGCCTTGGATGAAATATTTGTAGTTCCTTAAAACAACAATCAGCAATCTTACAGAAAAAAGAATTTTCCCTTGATCTTAAAGTTAGATACAGAAACTAGGCTGACGAGATAAGTAGAGGAGTAATAGGTAGAAAACTCTTTTGTTAGATTAGGAGAATTCCTCCCTTAATTGAGAGCTGGGGGCTAGGGAAGAGTCAGTGTGGCTTGCCTGGCATTAACACCCTCCAGGTCCTTGGTTCCTTAATATCCAATCAATATTAAAACAATATACTATAGATGATAACTTCTATATATAAAAATAGCCTTCTGTTTTTTGCTTTAATCATTTGGTTATATGTTAGTCTAAACTTTATAGGTTAGTTAGAAAAAATCCCTTTGTCTCCCTTCCCCCAGGTAACTTCCTGCCCTTTGTTTCCCCTAGCCCTTAGTTAATCCTTCACTATGGCAAACATAGAAATGTTAGTTGCAGCCACATAAGCTTTTTGCTAGTAATAAAATGACTGATTAAGGTAAATGACTACTCTAAGAACACTTTTGTTTAGCAACTGTGCCTTCTTTAAATCAAAAAATAAATGTCAGGACCTCTGCAGGAGGGCAAAAAGACCCTTGGCTGTTCTTGAGAAAGATGTGATGATTGTTATCTTCCTGCCTTAATGCATATGCTTATGCACTCTCACAGTGCTGAGACCCTCTGTAGGATGATGTCTGGACCCTGATCAAGTGTTTGCATCTCCTCACTCCTTCTCCCTCCCCATCACCCCACAATTGTGCTGATGCCATCCCATCCTTCAGGAACCCCTGACACCCAGGCTGCCTTGGCTGGCTCGCAGCAGGTTTGTTCTTGTCCAGTCTACATAGTTATCTCTTAAAATAACCCTACACACTACAGTGGGGGAAGGATTCGGGTCAAAACAAGGGAATAAGTGGAGTGGGAATTGTGTGGGGTCTTTACCCAAGATGAAAATGCATACATTGTGCAAAAATGAAAAATGATGTAAAAAATATATAAAATAAATTTAAAAAGGAAAGGAAAAAAAACCTACTTAATAGCAACCATGAGAATGTCAGACAAAATTCTCCTTAAAAAGATGATGGTTTTGAAACATCATACATTGTTTATCTTGTTATAAAGACACAAAAAATACACACAAACACATACACGCATGCGCGCGCGCACACACACACACACACACACACACACTGGATTTTACATGAAATTTCAGACCTTTCACAGGCCCTGGCCCAAGAGTCATAAACACGCCAGAAGCTCTGACGCAGACTCAGACACCAGCTCTAAACAACTGATTCCTCAGCAACCACAAGGGATAAGAGGAAAAATGCAGCTTAGACATGAATCAGAGCATGCATGAGAAGACAGAGAATCAAGAGGAAACAGGAAACAAAAACTAGATCCAAAATAGGACTGGGACTTGGGATCCAGAAGGATCCATAACCCAGGACCCCTTAGCAAGACCTGACTCAGAAATAGTGTGAGGGGGGTGTAGTCCACAAAGCCTGTATGGAATTTGCTTTAGGACATCCTTTTCCCCCTAACAATTGGAGTCTGGAATTTTTGAGAGATCAGCAAATGCTGAACCACACACTTGTCCCTGCTGCAGCCTCTCCTCACACTGACCCCCACTGTCCTCACCCACAAGAAAGGACCAGGTGACAAGGGGTCAAAGGGTGTCCTGACCCCACATGACCAACAGGGAGGACAGGGCAGGTGGAGGCAGGTATGTGCTAACAAGGGTTGGGGGCACTGCAGTTCTCAGATGGAGGTTCCAGAGTGAGAGGTGACCGGGGACACCAGACCCTTTCTGGTGGGGGTCTCTGATAGAAAAGGGGCAAAAGGGAGGCTGGAATGGGGTCCCAGGACCCTCAGGGCGACTCACCTGCATACAGCTGGGCCTTCCTCCAGGCTGAAAGGAAACACACAGGTGAGCACAACCAGCTGCTCTTGTGATCCACGGGACTGACCATCTCCTGTTCTGCAGGTGAGACTCTCTAGGGGGTATAAGGGAGACCTGGAAAGGTCACGACCTCCTGAGCTGTGCAGACAGCAGGGGTGGTGGGAAAACCCTGGCTCAGGTCAGGAGCCTGCAGGACATACTGACTCAGCCCTGCCTGCTGCTGCTGTGAGGTTTTGGGCAAGTCACTGAGTGGCTCTGGGCTTCAAAGACTTCAAAGCTTTTGCTTCACCTGTTACTCAGTGTTGCTACACAGGATCAAAAACAGTATATGGGAAGATATTTTTTAACATACATATTATTCCATAATTATTACATTCAGTATCTCCTTGGAAATTAATGGGAAGATAAAATAAAAACACAACATGGACATCACACCAGCTCCAGAGTAGAAATGGCCCATCTTCCTCCAGTGCAGTATTGCTAATGATATAAACTCTCTGGGAGATGAAAAGTACCCCACTCCCTCCCACACAGGGCCACCCTGCACTACTGATCAGCAACTTCAGGAGTAGAGAGAACAGACTTTTCGTGTTTTGTTTGGGGAGAAAGGGCAGGAGGAGGTCACATTCTTAAACTTCAAGAGTCCATTTACTTATAAAACCCAGAGCAGCTGCTTTGCTTCCAGATGCTGACCATGAACAAGATGCATTGAGGACTAGAAAGCCAGCACTATGGTGGGAAAGTCAGGGCTGGAATGAGACAAGGACGCAGGAGACTCCAAGTATCACCACCCACCTCAATCCCAAGAATGGGGGAAACAGCACTAGATCTGGAGAGCCCATGGGGCAGGGTCCTGCCTCTTACCAGCTCCCACTTCCACCCCAGGGAAGGGTCCACATGTCTGTGCTTAGACAGCCAAGGGGAGGGACCCTGAGCCCAGGGCACAGGGACCTAGGATCCCTGGAGCATCACTCACCAGCCAGGTAAGCTGCCTTCCTCTGGTCTGAAAGGCAACATGGGACTCAGGTGAGATAAGAACCAGAATGTCTCTATGAAGGGGGCATGGAGAGTTCAAGAGGGAGAACAGAGCTTACCTAGAATTGCCTGGAGTTCATCTGAAAGAGAATTAAAAATATAAGCATAAAGTGTCATAAAGAACAAAATTCGTGCCTGGAGAAGACACAAAAATGAAACTCTCTGTGTCCTAAAAGTTCTACCTTCAGACCAACATGAGACTCCAAGCTCCACTGTCCCCTCTGGGACTCAGCACCTGCTCTGATCTCCCTGTAGAGGGACGCTGGCTCTGGCTCTGGTGTCAGCTTGTCCCTCTCAGCACCCACCACCACACTCACCAGCCTGGCCCCTGTCCTGCCTTACCTGTGTCTTTCAGGGCATCCTCCTTAGTCTGTCTGTCCTCCTCCTTAGCCCGGCACAGTCTCCTGTGTTCCTGCAGCTCCTGCATCTGTGTGGAATATTCTCTCCAGGTGTAGCAGGCAGCCCCCATGAGCAGGAGAAGCAGGAAGGACAGGCTCACCAGGAAAGCTAGCTTCCAGGGAGAGGCCCTGGGGAAGAAGGGCTCTGCAGACAGAGACCCCACAGAGACTCCATCAGGACACAGCCTAGGACAACCCAGCCCAGTACCCCTGGGGGGTGCCAGCTCCCTGCCCTTCCCAGGAATGAGGGGGGATGGAGATGCACTGACCTGGGATGACAATGGCCGTGGCCTTCTCCTGGCCCACGATGGGGTTGAGGATGGAGCAGGTCACGTTCGCCACAGAGCTGTCTCTCACCACCAGAGCAGACTCCACACTGAACAGCCCCTCAGTGTCCTGGGCCTGGACCTTGGAGAACTCCAGGAACTGTTCCCCACGGGGGTGTCTCCACTGTACCTAGGGCTCAGGGAACCAGCCCAAAGTCGTGCACACCACGCACACCCCATCCTCCTCTGGCCCCTTGATGTGCACCTGGGGGGCAGAGCCCACACCTGCGGAGGGAAGATGAGAGCCAAGGGGGGCAGGCCCACCTGTGCACACCTCCAGCGGAGGCTGTCAAGGTGCACTCTGAGGAGTTTGGGAGAGACCTAGACCAAGATGATGACCTGACATGTTCATCTCTACCTTTCTACCCATTATTTTTATAATGATATAAACATGTTCAAATCTATATAGAATTATTTTCTTGTTACAAGAGCACACCTTATAATCCATAAACAGCTGTATTTTCTCATTTCTCAACAACAACTCAGCCTCCATCCGGCAGCTTCTCCTTCTAGTCCATTCTGTTCTCTGTGATTCAACAAAGTCTCCCATTTGTCAACCCCAATTTTTAAGGTCATCTCACCCAGTCTCCCTTCAGTCAGGACACTCCTGATCTGATCTTGAAACCACCTCCATCTTGGACTGGTCACTTCCCTCTGAGGGTGGCTTGTTGTGACTTGAGTCCCCTGCTGAGCCCCTTTCTTGACTTTTCTCCCTACACCTTCTCCTTGAAGGCAGGTGATATCTGGAAGTGATGTATGAGGAGACACAGAAGCTGAGGGAGAAGAAGCCCTGGGAGTGGGTGTGAGATAAGACCCTGTGGATGCGCACAGCAGCCTTCCCCTCATGGAGAAATTTCCCCACCATCGAGGTCCGCCCTGCCTACTGGGCCATTAGCTCCTCATGTCGTTCCTTTCTGTCTTTGTTGGTGAACACTGACTCCATGCTATTGGACCGGAACCACCTCAACTGCATGTTCTCTGCACTTATGACTGGGTCCAGGGAGCAGGGCAGTGTAGCGTTCTTGCCCAGCTCTGCCAATATGGCTTCTGGGGGGCTAAGCACACAGAACCTCTCTGTGAACACAGACGTGGGAGTTAGAAAGGGTGAGAGACACAGTCATATCAGGGAACATCACTGGGGGAGGCCCAGGCAGGCTGATGGAAGGTGTCAAATGAGCAGACAGCTGATATGAAGGATTAGCAGTGACAGTTCTGAATCTGGGAAGTTCTCCTAACCACACCTGTGGTTCAGAAATAATGTCAAAGATGCTCCCTCCTTCACTGGTGTCCCTGATAGCAGGACCTTCCATGAATAACTCTAACTCCACTTCAGCATCACAATCTCCAGGAGTGCTTGTAACTGTAAAGGGACCCTACCCTAGGCCTGATGCAGCCAATTAGGATGAATCCAAGAACATGCATTTCAAGAGTTCTTTGGTGACTAAGAAGGTATTTGAGGAAATTTGTTTCATGCACAGAGGATCATCAATGTGAATGAGTGGACAGAGTACCCAGAGAACACCAGGCTTGGGACAAAACTGGACACTCTCATACAGCAGTCACCAGGCAGACAGTGCCAAAAGGGACACAGAGGAGAGTCACAATTCACTGACCAAGAGTTGGGCAGAGAAGACACTTGGAGGCTGTGGTCAGGTGGGGGAGGCTGCAGCACACACTGTGGTGGTCACTCAACCAGGCATGTGACCCTGGGCAGGGAGAGCTGACAGTGAGGGCCTCACAGCTCTGACTGGGAGCTCCCAGCTAACAAGGTCCCCAGTGAGGAAACAAGGCACAGAGTTGGATGCAGCCACTCCACCTCAGGACTGGCCCCACCCTCCTGAAGCTCAGGACAGTGTGCACAGGGCAGAGTCTCAGGGCTGAACTGAGAGAGGCAGGTGTCAGGGGGGCCACAAACATGAGCTCACATACCCCAGCCAGAGCACCCACCCCAGAGGCTGGATGACTGCTGGCCCCACAGTCTCTGACTCAGCATCTCAAGGATCAGGTCTCTACTTCTATATAAGTTATAAATCTAACAACACAACAGGGTCACTGAGGAAAAGTTAGAAGTAGTTCAACACTGTAGGTTACCACAACAACAGATGCATTTTTTCAAAAATAGGAATTTTTTATAAAGATTTATTTATTTATGCATATAAGAACTGGGATACAGGCCAGAGATGTCGGGGGGTGGGGGGTGAGAGAATTCACCAGAGACAGAGTGGGGAACAGAACAGGCAGATAGACTGAAGTACACTGCTGAAGGGAACAGAGGGCAAGCCAGGAGATGTCTGCTGTGCCATGTGGTTTGCTCCCTGGCAGGCTGGGGATCGAACTCATGCTGCAGAGTCTGCAGACAGCTTCACAGTGCTGTACTTAATCCCCTGTGCCACCAGGGAGGCCCCCAAATAGAAAAATTAAAGCAGCAAAATAAGCCCCAGAAACTTGAGATCTCAAGGAATATGAAATCACAAGACAGGACCAACTCTTCAATATGCAACTACAAAGATATGGAAGATCGTATCTTACTATTAAGTAGAGTTCAAGTTACCTTAATAAAGAAAGTCAAAGAAATGGAGAAAACACAGAAAAGTGAATCAAAGAGAAAAATAAAATTCAGAACAATAAATGAATGAGTTGGAAAATAAAATGAGTGAAAAGGATATAGAAATTGAGGCCTTTGATTAACATCACAGAAATGGGGGCTCTAAAAGATTAGCAGAGAAGCTACTCACTCCAGGAGAAGCTATTGGAGCAGAATAGACCAAATGGAAGATCAAATCAGTGACCTGACAATAATAACGACCAATGGACTGAAATAGAAGAAAAAAGAGAAAAATGAAGAAACACTGGAAGAACTAACCAATCTATGAGGAAAAGCAATATAAGCATAATGGATACTCCACAATTTGAAGAGAGAAGGGTGTACAGAGTTCATTCAAAGAAACAGAGTAACATTACATATATAAATACACATAATGAAATAGTACTCAGATTTTTTTAAGATTTATTTTTGTTTATGTAAGCATACAGGAGCTGATATGTAAGCCAGAGGTGTGGGGAAGGGGTGTTGAGAGGAGTCACCAGAGACAGAGTGGGGAGCAGAACAGGCAGACTGACAGAAATAGACTGCTGAGGGGAGCAGCTGGCAAGACAGGAGATGTCTGCTACAAGATGTGGATCAGCTCCCTAGCCAGCGATGAAACTCCTGCTGCAGTGGCTGGTGACAGCTTGTTGATGCTGAGACTTAACCCCTTGCACCACCAAGGAGGCCCAGAGATTTTTTTTTTAAATAAATAAAATCATGCCATTTAAAACAACATGGATGGAACTTGAAGACATTATGCTAAGACCAATGAACAAAGGCAATTCCTGAAGGAGGAGCTCCCAGAGCCCATGGGGCCCACCCACCCGAGGGAGACACAGGACAGGGAGGGACACACTCACTTGAGGACCCCCGGGTGGCAGCTGGAGGAAGAGCAGCAGGGAGGGGAGGAGGCAGAGCACAGACCTGGGGCAGGAGCAGGGCGCCATCTCCTCAGGGCTGGGGAGAGACAGGGCAGGAGGCAGCCAGGCCTGACACAGGACTGACACATTTTGAAATTATGTATGGACTCCCCGCCTCACCCCCCCCACCCGTGGTGCCAGGATTGGAATCAGGGCCCTGACATAGAAGGGCCGCTTACGCTGCAGTTACTAGCTTTGCAGCGTGTCTGGGCAGAAACCTGGCCCAAACTACGGGCCTTGTATGGCCCGACAGGGGCTGACCTGAATGGACCATCGGGCCACCAATTCCAGCCGGGGAATTGGGTGTGGATATGCAGACACGCGCCCAAAACCTTGGAAGAGCGATGGAAGGGACCTTACTTAGTAATCTTTACCACCCCTCTTGCCTTGAAGGTTGATGGGATCTCGGCTTGGATTCATTACACCCACGCTCAGGCAGTGACAGGGGCAGAGGTGAATCAACACAGCCCGGAACAGAGGGAGGTCAAGGTGTTAGGGGGAAAGGATGTCCTGAGCTAATCCCATACAGGCTTTGTGGACCCCACCCCCACTCCAGACTAAAGCCATCAAGACATTGGGAAAGACAAATCCCATCACCACCAAAGGGAGGGTGGCTGGGACCTGAGGGTGGAGTTGGGCAGCCAGGTTGGATATAAAAACCAAACACGTGGGCCTTGGGGTCCCTCTGGCTTGCAATCGCTCGCCTCCTGGCTTCACGGCTCCTGGCTTGCAGCCAGCTCTCAGAGCGCCATTTTGGGATTCCTGATCAGTGGATCGGGTAGGACTCACTTAAAACTTTATCTCCTACTTTTTTCCCTGAGCTGTACATTTCCTCATTTGCCCTTCCCTTGTAAATAAACCTTTATTAACCTTTCGCGTGTGCCTGCAGTAGAGCATTGATAAGTCCTTTTAAGCGCGTGGGTGAGGACCCACAGTCAGGCACCCCGTTTTGTATCGGGGTTGCTCTACAACAAAGGTAGACCCTTCCAACCCACTACGCGTCAAATTCCGCCAACTACCGGACCCGTCTCCTGCGGTTAGCTAGGACGGACCTTCTCCATCACGGTGATCAGTCACCAGGATGTTCCTGCGCTTGTGGCTACATCTGACTGTATGTGTTCTGTGTTCCCCTTGTCTCTCCTGTTCATGCCAACCCACACAGACCCCAGAACTTTACGTGGGTCCTTAGCAATGCCGTCACGGGACGGACGGCGGCCTGACTCACGAAACTTGCTCCTCTAGGGACTTGGTATCCTGACATACCTTTTGACATCTGTACCTTGGCCGACGGAGAATGGGATGAAAGTATCATAGAAAATCATCCTTCCTGCAACACAGGCTCCGGGCGATACAAAATTAGAACTAGTCCCTTCTCCCTCTGCCCCGGATATAAGGGACGGGTCAATGCCGAAACCTGAGCGGGGAGGAGTGACTATTTTTGTGCATCCTGGATTTGTGTTTCCACCGCACATATTTACTGGACGGCACCGTCAGTTGCGGGGGCGGGGGGATTATATACAGGTTAGCAAGGGCACAGATCCTGCTTCTTCACAGAATTCTGGCATGTGGGGGTTCTGTCACCTGCCAAAAGGAAAGGATTGGAGAAAATTCCTACCCCTGTGTGCTGTGAGCCCACCACAGCAGCTTGGGTGTCAGGGTTCCTTGAAGGATGGGATGGCGTCGGTGAAGTCGAGAGGAAAAGGGGGAAGGAGTGAGGA